CCAAAGAGGCTCTAAAGAGCTTTCAGCAGGGGGTGGGGTTCTTAATTCGCTGGCAACCTATATCACCCTAAATTACCCATGAAGTGCCCCTATATGACCTTATATCACCTATAGTCCCTAGCTGACCCTATATATTACATATATCTTATGTTCCCCCTGTATATCCCTACATGACCCTATGTTACCCCGTATACTCCCTATATGACCCTAGATGATGCCAATATACTCCCTAAAGCGTAGACCCTAAACCCTAAACCCAAAAGTCCCTAAACCCCCTAAGCCCTAAACCCCTAAACCCCTAAACCCTCAACCCTACACCCCATAAACCCGAAACCCCAAACCTGCCATCACGATAGCCAGGAATGCAAGCCACAAGCCGGAGAAGCCCCAACTTCTTCTCAGCTTCCAGGCCCTGGTTGGCTCTGAAGACCAGGCGTGGTTGGGGTTTCCGTTTAGGGTTTAGGGTTTAGGGCGTGGGGTTGGAGGTAAGTTTAGGGTATAGGATTTTGAGGAATGAATTTTGGATTACCTAGCGACGTTGTACAATGCATTTTTTGGAAGCACCCTCTAGTCATTAGAGGTTGGGGTTTGGGGCCTAGTCCAGGGTTTAGGGTCTGTTGTTTCAAAGTTAGGGCCCCTTCGTGCCCCTTCTGGATATAGATTGGATTTATTAGATTACGGCACCCAACATTTAGGGTTCCAAAATAGGATCCCAAATTTGGGAAGTACCCGTGTAGCACTGGGATATTGGAGGATTACCTCAAGGCCGCGGCTGGCTTTTTGGGCTATGCGTGTACCCGAACCTTGAGACATATCCAATTTACAGAAGTTAGGGTCCTCAGAGAGCACAAGGACGTAGTCCAACTGAAAAGACTAGCCCTTCGCCACCTCGCAGAACAACGATGTATGCCACCGCCAAACTTCTTTAAGTCAGGCATGTGATTTTTGTGAGCGGAGCCTTTGCAAGCTATGCTGGAGTTTGTTGGAGAATTCTGTTGCATGTTATGCAGAGCACTTTGCCCGCTGGCAGGTTCTAAATGTCACTGCAGATCAGGCCAAGTTGATGATCCGAGTGGAGGAGCTTTGGATCTACACCACTCCCAGAAGCCTTGAAATCTAAATCCCGAGCTCTGAACTCTTGTCAGAATCCTCAAATCGCACACCCTTCGCCTTGAACTTGCAACTAGAATCCGCACACCGCAACTCCTTTACCCTGAATCTGAAACCGGAATCCTTGAATTCAGCACTGGCGCCCTGGGGCTGCTGTAGGCGTGCCTGGCAGGATGCCATTGGTGTGTACGAAGTTTCGAACAGTGTATTCATTCCTTCAACGAGGGCTTTTGTAGTACAAGGAGCTGGAAGGGCCTTGTGATTTTGAAAGTAGCTAAGGAGGTGGACATCACCAACGCGACCCCTGCCGATCAACCCACGGACAGTGCGATCGTTGATGTTGGTCGTGGCGTGAGGCGCGTATGTGATACACGAAGCACTGACACCAGCCAGTACCACAGCTGCAAAGCATGCGCAGGCATGAGCACCAGCGCTTCTTCTCTGAGACGATCTGCTACACGTTTGATCCTTGTTAGTCATGTTGTCGGCAAGTCGAGAGGCATCTGTGAAGCTGGATAAAATTCTCCTCTCATCTTCCAGCATATTGTGAAGTAGATGTACATGGACATGCTGGATGGCTAAGTGCTTATTCACATGCAGCGGCTTTTCCAGTCACCAGCTTTCCAAGGACATGTATCCAACTGGCACCATGATGAGCTTAAGCGAGCCACGGGCCTGGTTGCCTGGCATTTCAATAAGGGGACCCCAATGCAGACCCCCCCATACTAGAATCCTGGTTATAGGGACCCCTCAATTTGGTACCCCAATCTTGGAACTCCTATGTGTGATGCTGATGTTCTAGCTGAGGCTGAAGCGTGCACAGCACCTTCGCGTGGCAACTAACTCAGATGCGGCCCACGTGAGCACGAAGCCCGACAACAGTTCGGGCAAAGATGCACCGACACATGTGCGCATGAACAAGACGCAGATGCAGCAAATGATGTTTCTGGAAGCGATGTTGCTCGGATGCAACTCTGGCTGGTAATGTAGCAATGCAACCCATGCAACCTCCTCTGTCTTTGTTTCGGGTGCCTTTGGAATGTGAAGGAGCGACGTCTTCGCAGCTCCTCTCAACGTGTACGAGATGACAGAGGCGGCAGGCGAGTGCCTTCTGCGTTATCAGAATGACTTCCTTGTGCAGGCGACAGTAAATGCTTGGTCGGCCAGGTGTCAAGGAAGTTGCTGGGCTCAACTGCACAGCATGGCTCCTGAACCAGTCGCACAGCCTCCAAATGAAGGAGATGCTTCAGGCCAGGCACACGCTAGCTGCCAACTTTTTTCCCACACCTCTCATACCGCTGTCTGGGACTTTACTTTGTCTGAAGGCAATGACTGCATCTGCAGATACTGTGATCCAACGTGATCTTCCGATCTGGTGGTTCAGTTGGGACGCAGAGGTCCTTTGCACTTTGCGCTAGAAGTATCGATGTTCTTGGAGAGATCACGGAGCCGATCAACTAGCAACAGAGTATCGCACTGTATCGCAGCAGTATCTTTGCGCCAGGACGCGTCTGAGAAGCTGAAGATGCTACAGTCCCTCTTGGACTCTTCAGGTGGGACCCGTAGCACAAAGGTGATGTCTTTTGGCCGGTTCGTGCATTGAGATGCAGGGAATGCTGCGGTTATGCCGTATCTGACGTGCAACTACGGTGTCAGGCATTGCGACCATGACCGCAGCCTTCGAGTTCTGCGTGACTGACTTTGGTGAGCTTCTGTCCACGCAGACGACGTGCGCTGTCGGCATTCTATGGCAGTGTAGAACTGCACGCTAAGATGCAGCTGCATTCGTAGAGCAAGCGAGAGTAGTGCACCGATCAGTAGTAATCATCTTAGTGGCGCCGAGGTATATGCTGACATACGAAAGACGTGCTCCGAAGAACTCTACAAATCACACCAAGCTTGGTGGGTCGACTGCTGTGCAAGAACGCAACCAAAGCAATGTCCCTGGGCTTGTGAGCATCTTCTGTTGTAAGTTCTAGTGCGCCAATAATGGAGAATCAAATGGAAGCTGCCATCTGTAAGCATCTTCTGCATACCTTTGCAACGCGATGGGGGCTCGTATTGATTTCTGGCATGTCTTTCTGCATGATATACGTTATGTCTAGCTCTGATCCCACCTTGATTCAGCCTTGAGTTATCAAAGAAAACTTGGAGAGTGATGCATTTGAACGAGTCACAGCTTGATTGACGGAGCTGCTGCTGACATCATGTTGTTGTCACAGATTCCATACGGGTGACAATGGTTCCTTCAAGATGAACTTGAGGTAAGCGGATCGGGTAAGAGGCCACGTTTCCTGTTGAGATGCGTCGGCTACATAAGCAAGAATGGGTACCCGCAATGGGAACTCATCCCCTCTGTCCCAGGCCTGTATCCCTATGTAAACATTCAGTCACCCAACAAAGCCATTCTTTGGCAAGAAGAGCCTAGGATACGACGACGGACCCCTCTGTCCTGACGCTCTTTGAGTCGAACAGCCATACTCAGCTTCTTTCCGCACCAATGAGGCCCTGTCGGAGCGCATGTCAGGTTTCTCAAACAAGGGTAGGGATCAAAACTGCTGGATGTGCCAGGCCCAAGACCTTTGTGCAGCTAAACCCAACGTACGGTGTGACGGGCGGCGAGTGTGTGGATCTGACACAGGCACGCTGGCTTATCACACGCATGATGCCTGGTGGAGAAGTTGCATATATATGATATACTTATGGGTTTAGGGTTTAGGGATTTACAGTTTGAGATCGAACGGATGTAAGAGTTTCTACGAATCGTGCCACTGTAATTTCTCAAGGGGGGCCCTTACATCTAATTTGGAATCCCTGTACATCTCTGGGGTTTCTCAAGTAAGTTATCCTTCTTTGGGAACCATGGATCAACCCTGAACACTATAAACCCTGCACCCCAAAACCTACGAGTCCTGACCCTACAAACCCTAAACCCTAAGCTCTATACGTCCTAAGCCCTAAACCATTATGAACCCTAGGTATCCCTTTTTCCTAAGCCCTAAACCCTATGAACCCTAGGTATCCCTTTTTCCTAAGCCCTAAACCCCATGAACCCTAGGT